AAGGCAGATGGCCAGAGGCACGTTCCATTCTCACCCCACAAAAGAAACATCAAAGAGGATAGAGCAGGGACTTCCGGTTCCAGTATGTGGTGACTGCAGTCACGCAAAGAGAGTTGTCTCTTCGCCGGCCGATTTTTCTTCGCCGGTAGACCCTGAAGAGGGTTGAAAGTCGCCCTGGAGAGACGACCACCGATGAGGGGCTTTTTGGTGACTGAGGGAGGGCAGCAGCTTCTCCCGCGGCTCCAGCTAACTCCTTAGGGCCGACGGAGCAAAGATCGCCCTGTAAGATGGCTGATCATGCAGCTGCACCAGCCGAAAGTCACAAAAACATCTAAGCGTAAAGAACCACCGTGGATGATCCGGGTGAGACTTTTCCTTTTCCTCTCTTCACTCTATTTTTCTCCCGTAAAAAGCCTTTTGGAATTAATTCCCTACCCTGAGAGAGAGGTGTTTGTTTGCGTGGGAAGAAAAGCACTGAATAAAAGGACAGAATAACTAACTCTAATGACTATATTTTACTTCTATTTACTCTGGGGTCCTGAAAAAACCCTTTTATAGAATTTTACTACCTGATTTAGTTTAAATCTGGAGAATATTTCTTTTTATATGTGTATGTGTGTGTGTGTGTGTATATATATTAAAAAAGGGAAAAAAAGGAAAATTCATTTTATTGGTGTCTGGGAAAAGATTTTATAACCTACTGAGGACATCTTGTGGGGAAATTTAATACTGCAATTGCCTGCTTCTGTTTGAAGTTGAGGTTGGCTTTGACCTTCAAACTATTATAAAAGGGAAAAGATAAAGAAGTTGATGCACCTGTTAGAAACTGTGGAGGTGGACATTGGTTAACTTTTACTAAATACAGCCTTCACCAAAAGATAAATTATCATTGAAATGGAGAAACCCTATTTACAACTAAACTGTAAACTTATATTGGAAAAAATTCATGAAACCACTGAGCAAGTATGTGCTAAAATAAAAGCGATTACTATAAGAGTCAGAAACTCTACTTCAAACCTTCAAACTGACTTCCAGATTTCAATTGACTATCTTATAGGCCAAAATATACCAGAAGAGGAATTAACCAACACCAAAGAGGAATTTATATCATCTTATATGCATCCTATTGAGATTTTTGATGATCAAAAGGTAATCTTAATTAAAGTACATACAACTCCAAAAACAACAGGAATTGATGTACAAACACGATTTACTGAGAACTATGACAACTTTGATAATCAACTACTAACCATAAACCTGGATACAACTGAATATCTTACTCAGCTGAACCAAACACTGAGACTTGAATTTTTAAAGCAACAAAGGTCTAACTACAAAGGAGTCAGGCTCCCAAAACAGAGGATGGGACGTCTTCCCTTGACGCAAATGACATCACAAGCAATAGAGGCTCTGTTATGGAAACTTGCTTGGCACAAAAAGAAAGCCAGAATAAGACTGAAAAAAGAGACTTAAAATTACATGTAATGGGTTAAAAAGGCCTTATAGAGATACGGATTTAAGGTTTAATATTCAGACTTAGAAGCGAGAGGAAAACTCGTGATTAGTAGAATATATATGTGAAATAGAGTAAGAATGTATCTTTTGAAATAATATGTTTATTTTATGTATGAAAATTA